TCCTTCGCTGAAAAAAAAATCATTTTTAACACACTATTTGAATCATAACCACAGACTATAAACTACATATCAATTGAAAAGTTATGGAATGCACTATTTGGAAAAAAATTGATTTGTTTTTAGCTTAATCTAAATGTAAACCGAATAATGTGCGACATATTTTAATGAAGGATTGTTTTTGAGAGTTAATGGCATATCAAACCTGACCGTACTAATAATACTTCTACACAATTTCAATCCTGAGGGGTTGGTCTTCAAAACCGTGTGGAGATTATCCGATATTATTCTAAGTTGCTTTGCTCCCATCTGACGAGTTAGCTGATCAAAACTTTACCGTACGCATCAAGTCAGGGGCCATTGCGAAAGATCCATTTTGAAAATGGAATTCTCCCACACGAACCAAATTTTAAGGCAACCAGTGAAGTTTATATTCCCCATTAATTCGTTTAAAGAAGGTACATTCCCGTAAAAACAAAGTAGCTCTTTTTTTTTCTTCCAAAGTTTTCCCAAAAATTTACGCCTTGGGCGACCATATGTCAAGTTATGTCAACACTCAGAAAAATAGACAGTCAGAGACTGCATGTGGCTACTGGTATAGTACAACTTTTGTAGCATTGAAAAGAACTAGTTCAAATTTAAGATTAAATCTGAGAGGTTACAAAATTAATAAATAATTGCTCACACAGCCGGCTGGCAGTAAAATCAGTATGCAAGTAGATAATTGTATGAATCTGAGTGCAGTTATCGACTAACACTACCAGCGATGATGAAAATTCTCCCAAGAGTAGTGCCAATCCTTAATTCCTGTAGCTTTAATATAGTTACCCATTTTAATTTTTTTACTGAGAAAATTACGAACGAGCGTTCATTGAGTGCAAACTAAAATTTCAAGATAAATTCGTGCGTTCTCAGCAAATTATAGTAACAAAATTTCGCCTTCATATATGATGAATACGGTAATCCACCAGCACGAGGTCTTATAACGGAGCTATCCCATAACTTAATGTTTGGTTATTTCATGTTGTAGTTTTGTAGAGAACGACCATGGCGGACAATTTCATTCAACCCTCATACAGTGGATGTGTGGGATCATGAAATTTTTTTTTTCGTCTGATAAACAGACCTAGAATTTACTGTTAAGCGATAGAATTATGCTACTAACTACAATTTCAGCTAAAAAGCAAATTCAAAAGTACCACTTTGTCACGCGAAGTCACACAAGCCCGAAACTTCCAGTCAAGCAGTGGTGTTTAAGCTGACCATAACTTGAACACTTTCAACATGGCGGCCGATGGGTGATCTGAAAGGTTTGCAAACCCTTCAGTTCATCAGTATTTCTAAATGCACGGGCCAAGGTAACTTAGAGACGTGTTTAATTTTGACCGATATTCAACCGTGTTGGGAACCATGAAACCAACTTGTAAGAAGTTATTTCCGATGGAATTTAGCTTTCGAATGTGTAATTTGCAAGGTGATTCTCAAGTGGAGAATTTGTTACTCACACGCCGTCTCTGATGGGAAGCGAAGTATGAAGGACTTGGAGCTATTTACTGTCAATGATAAAATTCTTAAGGAACGGTGGGAAAGCTTCGAAAGCACGAATGACTATCTTTCTGATAAGATCCGAGGAATCCGGAAATGTTTCCTTCTCCTGTCTTGGGAAGGACGGATAAATCGAGGTAGGGAAAATTCCATTAATTTATTTGTTTTTCATCTAAGTGTCGGCCATGATGTTTGAAATTGTACGCCATGAGCCAGAAAAAGAAGAAGTAATGTTACAAGACTTCTGACATACGTACTGTAGTCCTTATTAATCCTTGCCTAACCTTATATAGATCGTGAAATATTTGAGCCATCTCGGCCAATTTTTTAGCCTCTGAGCATAAATGGCAGGCTAAAATCAAGTTTAGGAGCGTGATACTTATGAACTTTGCAAGAAGGAAAATAAATGCGTTTTAAAGTAGCGTAAATTAACATTTGTTATTATAGTACCTTTAAACTAGCTATTAGCTGTTGTTTAAAATCGACTTTACGACACATTTACGCCAACTATGCGTCAAACGCTGATTATTCTTTAGGCAACTTTACGCTACCATTAAAGATAGCGTAAAGCTCAACTTTACGTTTCGTAAGTCGCGTATATCCGAACATTACGTTACATTTACGCATAGTTAGTAGAGGGAGCTGTGATTTACGTGGCCTTTGCACCTGGGTAAATTTGCTTTTACATGCTAAATCAGCTGTAAGAGACAAACAAAGTAAATCAGTCCAGGATGTCGAAAAAATCAGGCTCGTAAAATTGAGAAATAGGCCATTTCTGAGTTACGTTGTGCCTCTGTTTGAAATCGAGTCCTTTTGCAAAACCTTTCATATGAAAATGAGTTTAATTTTCACGAAAATGAAACTGTTGATGAAACACATTTACAAAGACTCGTTTTCACGCAGAGGCAACAAGCAACTCGGTAACCGCCTATTCTTACCGTTTGCTCTCCTCTAGTGATCATGTTATCTAGATATGAAACTCTATCAGCGACTATTTTATACGCGTGATACGTGTGTATGTTACTACGTTTCTGTGTACAAATGACGAGTGTACTTCCACCTCACTTTCTTTCAAAACGTTTTATAAGTTAACTTCCCATGGTATCTCGATCAGGCTCAAACAAAACATCGTTAAGTAAAGTAACTTTCCTTTGTCTAGATAATGCTAAAATAACGTTTACCGTAAAGTTAGGACGCAAAATCTAAATTTTTTTTAATTGGTTATTGCATTGTGCCATGAATTCCTTTGTTTATGTTAAGTTCCCATTTCCGCCCCGTCATGCGCTCTTAAAATAGTGCTGAAACGGACTCAATTGTTCGATTTTTGCTTGAATGATTTAATTTCCACTCATAGAGGCACCCTTTTGTTTGTCAACGAGACGCATTTTCCTGCGTAGACTATAATGTAAATTTCAAACCTTTTACATTGGAAACTGCTTTGAACTACTGTCGAGGACTTTCAAGTCATAATACTAACATTAAAAATGTCAGAAAAAAAGCTAATGAAAGCGCGCCCTTTTTAAAATCGTTTATGGAAGTGCGCCACCATAAACTCGATGGACGAGTGCTTATGAATAAAATATGCAGATTTGAGCTAGTTAGGAATTGAAATTAGTCGCTCTCTTACGAGTTGAAAAAACGCTGTCCTAGGTTATCGGTAGAGAACAAGATTCCCCTGGAAAAAATAGATACTGAGACAGAAGTTAAAGCCTGGATATGTAAAAACATACGATTCTTGTTTGTGACGGTCTGGTCTAGTTTTTTTCGAAAGAGACAAATTAAAATGTCGCTACTGAGCAACATATATTTAGAAATTTAGTGAGCAATGTTGGTTGTGGATGATTGATTTCATTTGTAAACAATTATTTCTTGGTGGGAATACGTTAACAAATCTTAAATCTTTTTTTTTCCCCATATAATTGGGCATCGTCGCCTAATTTATACTTGTTCCCGCTTTACGTCAACTGGACGTTAGCGGGGAGGGAAGCCGTACCATATACTTAAAAGTCCCTTATTACTTCACAACATCTTTAAGTCCGCTATCTTGGATTCACTACTTAAAAGTTAAATTTTGGTAAAGAAAACTTTACAGTTCTAAATTTGTACTGACATGCCGCAATATCTGCATAGTTTCCAAGGAAAAATAATCCACGGCACGTCATATGAAACTTCTAAGAACAGATACATTTCCGAGGCATTATCAAAATTGACAGCTTTCACTCGATCAAGTATCAAATTAGCTATACAGAGTTGACTCAACGTAAGCTCGTTAAGGCTGCCGCCTGATCTGAATAGGATAAAGAGATGTCAAAAGTAAACTATGTCAGCACAGTTCCTTGAATAGTAGATCCACTTGCTGTAAATTAGTGCGGGATTCAACATTATATCACAGGCCGAGAATAGGGTTCACGGTCTTGAAGAAAAGTTATAAATTCTTATTTTGGATATAAACCAAGGATTTCAACCATTTCCCAGTTCTCGTTCCCGGCTAAAGACACGTTCATTATACAAAGGAGGTAAATCTCAAGAGATCTTTATTCAGCAAAAAGCATTCTACAAAGGCCGAGTTTGAACTATTTAACGTTTTGATCATGAGCTCGAGATTTCTGTCGCGTGATAGTTGACGAAGGCGCTGCCCAAGTCAACCATTACGCATAGAAATCGAGAGCGAATAGTTTAATGATTTTTCAGTATAAATCCACTAGTCGTTCAAAACCTTATCTAAATCCTCTTCACAGACAACTCTAGAACGCCAAAAAGCGGACGTAATGTTGTTAACAAGGGCACACTGCTACGCTACTCACTATCTGTTACAGAATAGATAGTGCCGCGTAGCCAATCAGAGAACGGCATTCGTAATAGAACGCTAGTAGATTTACACTAATATGTATTATATGAAAACCCTTGAAAGACTAGAAATAATTCTTCTGGGAACCTATTACATTGAGCATAAAACATTTAATTCAACCTGAACTATAACAAAATGAGCGAAAATGAACTTTTGCGTAGTTGGCAAATCTAACTTCAACATTCTTGTTATTATTACTATTACAATCATTATTTCTAAACACCTAAAAGTTTCTTCATGAACTATGTAACAATTGGTACACACCTGAAAGAAGAACACAAGCTGCAAGCAACTAATCCACAAGACCAATTTACAGTTTTAAAGCAATGCCGCTCAAAGTTTGACTGCTTGATGTACGAGATGCTGTTCATTTGGAACATAAAACCAAAACTAAATTAAAATAATAATGATAAATACAGTTTAACGTGAAGAAACATTTAATTGGAAGCTAGTTTACAGGTTTTCCACCAAACAACTGAAACAAATAATTCTAATAGAAAATAACATTATTAAGAATCCCAACTGGCCGAAAGCAAACCAGTTGGCTATATTACAAGCATGGCCGAGGATTTGAAACTCGGGGCTACGTGAAACAAATTCAGGTAGTGGCCAGGGCGGGACTTGAACCCGGGAGCGGCGGATTGTAAGTCCGACACGCTGACCACTCGACCATGCTGCCTTCTTGATCTGACTAAACACGCAGTCAGATTCAGTTCAGTTTATCATTATTATTTATTATCATTAATGTTTATTATCATCATAATGATTTTTATTATTATTCCTATCTTTGTTCCACTGCTTCTTCTCGAAGCAGAACTAGCCATAGAGCTAAATAATGACTATTCTTGCTTTGAATAGTCAATCAAAAACTTCGTCGTAATCCAAAATGTTAGATAAATGCATTATGTTAAGACAGTAATATGGGAAAACACGTCTACTCTACTTCCGCCATTTCAATGCTATAAAGCCTAAAAAAGATGATAATAATAATTTAGAAAATTTTACTTTTTTTCGTTGTTGTTGCCGTCGTCATGTTTACTTTTACCAAGCTTTTTTCAAGAAGCCAGTCTCTTGATAGCGCGGAGCATCATTCGAAATGCATACTTCCTGGTAATCACCACCGACATTTGGCGTGCCCGGCTCTTGGTAGATGGCTCCATAGGAGAGGTCTAATTTCTCATACCCAACAGCATCTTGCGAGACTTGCGATTTGTCATGACCAACGTCATCGTTCCACATGCCAATCTCCTCATACCTGACAATGTCTTCCTTTGATTTAGTTTCTTGTAACTCGTACTTTTCAGGGTTTGGGAATGCAACTTCCGTAGGCATCCCGCATAAATTACGCCTACAGCCCACCATTTTTCGGCGGTGACTGTGGCGAATCAGATAAATGCTGAGGACAGCAAGCATAAATATTCCACCACATGAAACACCAATAATAATTGGATAGAGGACCTTTACTTTGTCTTCTTTTGTAGGTTCTAGATTTTGACGAAAAATTAAACAAAACATTTGTATATATATATATATATATAACTAAAGAGTGGGTGAATAATGATGGATAACATTAACATATATCTCCCACACGTGTAACATACCGAGTTAGTCAATCTTTCGATATATACTTGCAATTACCTTCAACGTCCTTCATGATTTTAAGGGATTCTGGATCGACGGTCAGAGGGCCCAGTTTGCCGTCCTGTATAGCCCTCTTCAACGGAGTCAAAGCTTTTTCATCTTCCAGACTGTTTTTGAACAGCAGCTGAAATTGTGCCACTACACTGCCCGGCCTAAGAACAAGAGCAAATACCAATAAAAAACAAACGAACGAACGAACGAAAAGCAAGAAACGATTACACGATATTTCATCGATTACTTATTACACTGACCACATTACGAGGCTACAAATTATAAGAAACAACTTTTCATTTAATTTCCTCAAGATTGCGTACCTAAATGATAAGATTTCTACTCCAACAAAGTTGTCCTCCTGGGAATACATTTCGGTAATCTGCAAGTTCAAAAACACTATAGTCAATAACCATTATCATTCAATGCATTTTTGCTCTTCTTTTTATTGGCCGAGATCCCTGCACATGACCTGCAAATAACTGCCTACAATGTGTTTAGCTGCAAATAACATTCTGCTCATGCGTAATTGTAACCACACTCTTAGGTTAAAAAAGGCAGATCGCTTTCCGTGAGCTGCCAACCAACTTGGCAATGAAATGACAAGAAAATTGATGAACTCAGTTTTTACGAAATATCGTGATTTTTCAGTGTCTCACAGATTAATTGTTTGCCTCGGCTTTCGGCTTCAAGAAAAACTGATCTGCTCGTTACTGACAAAACACGATATATTCCTCTACAACAACAAACATATGAAACATATGTGTGAACTGCGGTTATGAGACGTATATGAGAACGATCCTTCGCAGTAAAGCACTATTTGAGCAATAGTGAAAATCAGACCTGAAAAAAAATTTCAGGCCTGTACGGGATTCGAACCACTGACCTCTGCGATACTAGTGCAGCGCTCTACCAATTGAGCTAACAAGCCAACTGGGAGCAGGCCATCAAATTAATTCGATATAAACCCGTAGATGATAAATCAAACAACAACAAACATATGAAACATATGTGTGAACTGCGGTTATGAGACGTATATGAGAACGATCCTTCGCAGTAAAGCACTATTTGAGCAATAGTGAAAATCAGACCTGAAAAAAAATTTCAGGCCTGTACGGGATTCGAACCACTGACCTCTGCGATACTAGTGCAGCGCTCTACCAATTGAGCTAACAAGCCAACTGGGAGCAGGCCATCAAATTAATTCGATATAAACCCGTAGATGATAAATCAAACAACAACAAACATATGAAACATATGTGTGAACTGCGGTTATGAGACGTATATGAGAACGATCCTTCGCAGTAAAGCACTATTTGAGCAATAGTGAAAATCAGACCTGAAAAAAAATTTCAGGCCTGTACGGGATTCGAACCACTGACCTCTGCGATACTAGTGCAGCGCTCTACCAATTGAGCTAACAAGCCAACTGGGAGCAGGCCATCAAATTAATTCGATATAAACCCGTAGATGATAAATCAAACAACAACAAACATATGAAACATATGTGTGAACTGCGGTTATGAGACGTATATGAGAACGATCCTTCGCAGTAAAGCACTATTTGAGCAATAGTGAAAATCAGACCTGAAAAAAA